TTTTTTTTTTTTTTTTGTTGCATGTTGGTGCGAGTCACTCAGAAGCCATGCTGATTAACTCTGTTGCAATATTAGAACTCGGTAGAAAATGATAATATTTTAAATTTTGTCTTACTTTAGATTCATTCAGAGTTCTTCGTCACGATAAATAAACACGTAGAAGAAATCCAAAGATAATGTAACTTGACAGATAACGTAAGCCGAATCATTTCTCGAATACTGTCACGTAACAAAATTATGAAATTTACTTAAATTTAATTAAACCTTACGGATACGGAAACGTCGGATCGATAGAAATATAAATTCTGCGAGATCCAGCTTCTGAGAGGCTCATCATCGTGTGTGCACGTGTCTCGCCAACTTACAGGGGACTACACAGGAAAATAATTGCTTTAAGGTCCTCGATATATCTCATCTGACCTTTCAGTAGTATGCTTCTAGCTCCTTGACTGCCTCGCCTATCCAATCCGGAGCTGGTGCTCGGCGTATTGTCTGAGTTTGACGAAGGATCGTTATCGTTTAATCTGATCAACTCCAGTTCAAACTGAACCGAATGCAAGTACATCACCTGCGCACATGTATATCAACTTGATCGGGAATTAATGCAGTACGAATATCAATTAAGCATTGAATTGTTAATAAAGTGATTAAACGGAGATTAATTACGCAAATGAATGACGGTCGTGTTGTGCGAAAGCTTTCATTACAATAAGCTCTCGGCCAGGAAGACATTAATGAAGCATCATTCTCTTGCAAAGTTAATGGCTTTGTATGCACTCAATGAAATATGCATGAGCTTTCTTTAAGTAATTAATTTATTAGCCAGTGCGCGAGATTATGGCGATGGAATACTGAATATCTATACTTTGAGGTGATCTATGAATTCATTTTTGTGCATATCGAGAATTTATATACGAATGAAATAGAAATTCTTTAATATTTAAGAAAGCGAAATAAAGCAGAGATCGTTTACAACTATTAAATATTATTTCAGATATTTCGTTTGATAACACGATTAATTCATAAAATATGAACAAATTCACAGTTCAAATTAAAGATGCACGTTCCATTTAGCATTCGTAATGAATCCCGTTTGATCACAGTAAATTGTCACAATTTCATTAATTTCATAAATTCTATTTAACTGAATATCCAATTGAATGAAGCGATTATTTCGTTTGACAGAATGCTTAACGTAGTAACTATAAATAAATTCTCCAGAAATTATCTATAAACGAATATGTGGAAAGATGTTGCATGAACAAGCTAAGAAAAAAAATCTTGTATAAAATGACGTAACAATGCCTTTCAATCCTTTATTCTGAGGAAATGTACGAGAACGATGCTGGAAACGTGACACACTCCCTCCTTTATCTGTCATAAAGTACTCCCTTACGTTTCCCCACGTGAAAGATATCCCTTTAGGCCTGCGAACTTTGAAAACATCCGTGACGTGTTTGTTCAAGATGGACGAACTGCCGCCCCATGCCTGCAGCAATTTATCACCGGCCCCCAATATTTTCATATCCTTGTTGATTACCACTCCAAACGGGAAAAGGCGTAAGAGGAACGAGATTGACACCGGTGCCAATTCACGGCCAAGCGGAGTTTTCATACTGTTGTTCTTCGCGATCTAAGAATTAGAAATACGAACAACTTTTGAACATTAATCGGAATAAATCAGAAATATATAGTACAAGAGTACAATAACGTATAAAGTGTTATATAAAGACACTCGAATAGTTTATATTATTTTAATACGTAATTTGATATGTAACATGTTTCATTTGAATTTCCTACACTAATTACTTATGCAGACATTGTCCTTTTCAAAGGACTTGCTCGGCTATCTAATCATTGTTCACGCGTAATTACTCACGTATTCACGATTGTCGAAATCGATGCGGAATTTAACCATTACGCTTCTGGACCCAGGGATATTGTTCGAACTTCCTAATACTCGTATGACCAAATCTGTTTCGTACAGCTCTTTTGCTATTTGGAACAGCTGACCTAACAAAGAGAAATACGCAACTGAATCTTTCTTTAAATTAAATTTAAACGTCGATTCTTATGGAAATGTTTAATTTCGAAATTTCCCCACTCTCCACAGAGAGATGTTGCTTCCTCTCGTTTTTAATTCGTATGTATATATGTTAAGAAAAGTATACTA